TAAGGGGCAGCACTGACCTGTGGTAAGGGGCAGCACTGACCTGTGGTAAGGGGCAGCAGGCCCAGAGTCCAGGGCCTTTCTTACAGCAGGTGGTGCCTCCGGGACACATCGTCTGCTTGTCGCATTTCTCGTCCTGAGTCTCTGACGTCAGGGCCGAAACCTTCGCCACCCAGCGGAGGGACGGCGAGGAGCCCGAGGGGTCGTCACAGCTTTCAGCCTCCAGGTTGCAGACGGTCCCGTGAGGGCAGCAGTGGACGTGATCGTCACAGCACACAGCCTGACACAGGAACACAGACCGGTTAACAAAACTATGTTTACTGCTTCATAAAGACCGGATAAATGTCCAAATACTCACTCTTGGTTCTGTGTTTCATTGTTTAAGAAATATTTAAATGTTTTATTCACTCGAATGTAAAAACCTGTATTGTTTTACCTGTAATTTGAGGCCAAGTGCAATTTATGCAACTTATTTAACTTTAATTTTGAGAATCGGAAAAAATACTCACATAAGTGCGACTTGGATGCACTCACACATTATTCCAGAATTAATTAAGACTAAATTCGATATTTTTATACTGTAGCATGAAGCATTTGAGTTTGTTAACAAGTGAAACCAGATCATAAAGCTTTGCAGACTAAAATCAAGACCTGATAAATGTCCTAATATTACTTATTTTTGTTTGTTTACTCTGATATTAGTAAGTAGTAGTAGTATAAGTATGAAAAACCTAAAAACTGTATTGTTTTATATCTAATTTGGGGCAATAAAAGCTGAGTGCAGTTCATTTAAATGTAATTTTGTATGTTTGAACCAATCAAAAACGTGTATTAATGGAGGTGGAATAGCTGTTCCTCAGTTTGAGCATAATGTTGTTTTAGATGGCGAGATTACCCAAAGTGCATCCATACAACTGCATTATTGATAGTTTAGTTATTTATGAGCTTGGATCGGTATCTGCAGCATTAGTGTCAGTTGAAGCTAAAAAAAGCAATAACTAAGAGATGTTGGGCTGAGTGTGGATAATAATAAAAGAAACTGACCTTTTCTCTGAGGCTTTGTATTGATAAATAATAAAGTATATAATAAAGACACTGGTTATAAGACAGCAGTCAGTTGAAGTCTACCTGATGCTCTCTCTCTGGGTCTGGGACTATGAGTCTGAACATAAAGCTGAGCTGCTGCACCGATAACATCAGAGCTGTGTTGAACTGCCCCCAGTGACCTCGTCTGCTCAGCTTTGATTGTAACGTGAGTCCCAACACGGCTGCTGCTTATAATTGACTAATAATCAAACTCTATACTGTACACCCATCTGTGAAAAAACTGGATTAATCGTGTGTTTTTTTTTAAAATGATTTCAACATTTTGTTGGCGCCGAACACATTTGAGATAATGAAGAGAGGGATGCTGCAACAATTAGTCAATTAACTGATTATAGTTGAAGCTATTTTGGTAATCGATTTATCGTTTTGAGTCTTTTCTTTAAGAACAAACGCCCAAATTCTCTGATTTCAGCTTCTTAAATGTGATTATTTTAAATCCTCTATGACAGTAAACTGAATATCTTTAGACATTTGAGAACATTTTCTCCCAAAATTGATTCAGTTTCAACTTATTTTCCAGCCTCCACCACCGCAGCCTGAACACACCCCATTTAAAATGAATGGGAGGAGGAGTGATTTGGTCTGAATCAGCCCTTAAATATCAGTGGATCTAATAAACTGGCAACTGTGTGCATAATTAACAGTTCAAATGAAGTAGAATTTATTTGATTTCACAGAAAAGTCTTCATTGTGTTTATTGTACATACAACTAACACCACTGCGGTTGTATTTATGAGGGTGTACGTAAACCTGCTTTGTGTCGTACATTTCCTCCTACAAACAGTCGAGATTCAAATAAACTACACATCCAGGTTTACGATCTGAGAGAGGGGATAAAATACTAACATTTCCAGGATTTCTGGTCATTTTAATATCAATTTCCAGGTTGTCCAGGATGCGTGGGGACCCTGACAATACAATCTTAATGTTCATATTTTATGTAGTCATCATCCTGTACTGTATCTGTTCCACTAACAAATATCAAAGAAACTCCTCATGAAATACTTAGGTTTCACTCTCTTCATTCCAAACCTTTTTCCAGGACCTTTTCCATGATCAAGCACATGCCGTCCTGGATTGTCACTGCTACAAACTGTCATATAATTTAATTTCACGTCTAATATTGACAGTTTTAACTAGTTTTAGTGTCTAGAGTTTGAAACTAAATATACTTCAGTTTTCCAGGACAACAGAGATTATTTCCAGGATATTTGGTCACTTTCGATCAGTTTCCAGGTGTTTCAATGACTGGAGGACTTGTCGTTGGTCCCGTGTTACCTGAGGCAGAGGACAGCAGGCCCAGTCTCCACTCGCCGTCTTGCAGCAGGTTGACTTTCCAGGACAGGATGTAGATTGGTCGCACTTGCTGTTCTCCGTCAGCAGAGGGAAGACGGGCACTTTGCTCAGCCACGGCAGCACGGCGCCGCCGGCGGGGTCGTCGCACGTGGAGGCCGCCAGGTTGCAAGTGGTGCCGTGGGGACAGCAGTGCAGGTGGTCCTCACAGCACACGGCCTACAGGGAGGAACACGCCGGAGTAACGATACACAAACTTCACTATTTAGCAACTTGAAAGCTAAAATAAAACGTGTCCCTGAGTGTTTGACCTCCATTAATGGACGAGTGTTACTGTCTGTCAGCTCAAACTCTAAACTCTGCAGACAGGAGAAGAAGTGTTTGGTAATTCTGTGCAGCTGGACGGCGAGCCGAACAGTGCCAGCATGACTCATACGCGTCGGTATGTCAGTACCTTCGGTAGCGGACAGCAGGCCCATTCTCCCTCTGGTGATTTACAGCAGGTGTTTCCGTCAGCGCACGCCACCGAGTCGTTGCAGGGAACCGCACCGGCTGAAAGAGCAACGAGAGGCATTCACAGATTTAGCTCTTATAATGTTGTTTTTCAAAATAAAAGTATGTTTCACTTTGCCAGACTGTTCCCAAACAGCACAAAACATAAAACTGACAATAATGTCTAAGAAACAAAATAAAGTAGCAGAATGAAAATAAATATACAAATAAAAACGAAAGAAAAAATTTATAAATCTGATTCAATTTAAAGTCGTACGTCAACATCTGGTTTTGTAATTCCTTAGTTTGCTTCTGGATGAGGATTTTTGAAGCCGTCTGTTATATTTGTGGTAGGACAGTAGATCTTATAGCCCCATAAGTGCTGTTTCTGGGGGTATCTGTGTCAGAGGGGGCAATTTATATACACCGTTGTACACAAAAGAGCTTATAAAACGATACTGTACACAGTGCCAGTCGATGTCCGTTTTTGTTTGTTATTTTTCTCTTTTGTAATAAATAATAAAATATGTGTACACTCTATCACCTTAAGTTAAGGAACCTCTAACGTCCTTAGTAATGAAACAAAGAGTGTCCAGATATGTAACTTATCTTCTAATAAAACCAACTGATTCCATTTCATTAACCCATTCTTTCATTCTTGAAGTATCTTTTACTTCCTAAATGTTTGTCTTGTTTTCTTCTGTTTTGTAATGTTGGTTTTAAAAGTGCTCTATAAATAAAGATTATGTTTTACTTCTTTCAAAGATTTATTTTACTAAATTCCCAAATACGTTGATTCCGGGTTCCTTCATACTCGTTACACTGAGTATACCTGGCGTATTGTTGTCAGAGTGAAGTATAAATAGCTCATAACATTTAATTTACCCTTCGTCTGTGCGACCACCAGCTCTGTCACAGCGTTGGTAATCCTAACGGCCGTGCTCGACTCCCCCAGCGCCGACACACAGGCGCTGTGGGTAAGGTCGCACTGGGTGCCTTCAGGACAACAGTGGATGTGATCTGAACAACAGACGGCCTGAAAGAAAAGAGGATCTTAATCAGTGTATAGAAATATATTCCTCTGAACGTTCACTGCAGTGTGGGGCAGAAAACCTCTTAATGATTGGTGTGTAAATGATCAGATATTCTGTTGTTAAAGAGCTGCTATGATTTGAAGAAAAAGATTCTCAAGAGTGATTTGATACGACAATTAATTCAGTTTCTTTTAGGCGTCGCCTTACTTTTTATTGTACATTGTTGTTAATGTAGATCATGTGATGTTTTTCCTTATATTTTTATATTTTGTAATATTTTATTTCAATTTCATTCAACCATTTTTCTACCTTTAATTTTATTGTTCGATTTTATTTGAAATTATATAGCATACTGATTGCAAATACATTTATTTAGAAGATTGTTTATGGGAAATACAAACATAATCTTAATGAATGAATGAATGAATGAATGAATGAAGGAATTAATTTAACCCATGTGACATTTAGGGTGTGGAAAGGGAGGAAGGAGGGAGATTTTAAAGACTAAAGAATAGTGAAACTCTTTCCTTTCCTCAGTTGGTTCATTAAACGCACAATTATCAACCACAATTAAATAAAATAAAGCATTTTCCAGGACAACCTGGAGATAATTTCCAGGATATTTGGTCATTTTAATCAATTTCCAGGTGTTTCGATGACAGGAAAACTACCCTCTAAACTTCCAGATTTCCCAGATGTTAACAACAGAGCTGTAAGTTTTTCACAATAGCTTCTAGAGAACATCAAACAACCTTCACTTATTAACGAGGGATTAAGTTACTCACGTTGGGCATTGGACAGCAGCCGTACGTACTGTTAGTCATCTGGCAGCAGGTGGTCTGGTCGGGACACGAGGATTTTTTATCCGGACACACGACTGGCGGGAGGACAACAGACACCCGATCAATACTCGCTTCCTGTCGACGTATCAACCGACATTAATCTGGTTCACAGCTGATCTTACCGTCGTTGGGTACCGCGGAGATCTTCTTCAGCGGTGCCACGTGTGTCTCACTGGACTTGCAGACGCCGTGCTCCAGGTCACATATTGTGTTGCTAGGGCAACAGTGAATGTGATCGTTGCAGCACATGGCCTGCACGTGGTTAAAATATGAAACAGCAAGTAAAGTAGAGAACAGTTTGTCATTTCAGTTCAGAGTAAGTCTGCCTTTGATGTTTGTGGGATATAAACTCTGACAGCTTCAGTCTCACACCATGAACCTTTATCATTATATTATTATTATTATTATTATTATTATTATTGTATTTGGAGGCAGCAGTAAATCATTACTAGTTCTCATATTAAAGTAATAATATCGCTTTCCCCAGTAACTAGTAGTTTAACCAATGGAAATATTCACATTACTTAGATTTTAACAAATAAAAATGGATTTTAATCGTCATAAGTCTGACGTAAGCAGAAAAGAAATATAACTAGTAGTGTAACTAATTACGGTTGGCAGGGAGTAATAAGTAACTTAATAACATTACTTTTGAATACTATTAACAAACTTAACACTGGGTTGGGGACCAGAGGGTTGATGGTTCAAGTCTAGCACGGACCCCAGTATACAGTGTGTATGGTTGTATTTCAGGCCTATAATTAATTTATATATATATATAAAATAAAATA